AGTCAGGTCAGCTGAACAAGTTGAATGACTGATGGAGAATTAATTTATTATATAAGGGAATGGATTAACTAAAATGTTAAGTCCTACTTATATTCAAGTTAGGTCAGCTGAACAAGTTGAATGACTTATGGAGGATTAATTTATACTGGATAGGATGGTTACTAGATTTTATATATATAAGTATGGTGTCATGATATGAGCTTGAGTCTCAGGATCAATGGTTAGGGCACGTATATCGCCAGGGATGTGTAGCTAGATATAGTGTAGTTGTGTACCCTGGTAGGTCTAGGTACTCATGCCCACTATATGTGCGTTTTGCATGTTGCCTACTATTCAGGTTGAGACAACCCTATAGTCTAGTGAGGTTCCTTTAGTGTGTATATATATATATACGGACTACTAGTTACTGTTGGATTGACTAAGATGTATACGTGTATCGGATCTCTGCTTGGACTGTACTAGAGTAGAACTTGTTTGTGGGCCTGACCCACCATTATTTTTTAGGTGTTCGTCACGAGTAGAGGTTGTTCGTGCTGAGCAGGGATCAGTCTACTTCATTCTTCCGATGCTACATATGAGTTCTTTTATGATTCAGTTTCCTGTTTTAAATTACTGTCATTTGTTTAGTTTGGATTTTCTAAGGGTCCACACAGTATGGATTCCCGAGTTGTATTTTGGAGGATCAGTTGTATCAGAAGAGTTATTAATTAATGGAAATATATTATGAAGTTTATTATTAGATTATCATTTTAGTTTCTTGTCAGCATTTTATTTATTCTTCTTTATTCTTTTATACTCTGTGTTCGTTTATTATCAATTTGTTTTGATACCCTCGGGTATTCGGGCGTGGGCCTGGCCAACCCGCATTCGGAAATTCGGGGGTATCACATGTAATGAACTTACTTTCTTATAAATAATTATGATAAATGTATCATCTTATCTCAGATCATATTTTATCATGATTGTATGGCTTGCATTTTCATAGTGACAATGGAAATCAGATTGTGAAATGGGTTTCTTGGCATTTTGTATGAGAATCTTAATATTCCATAGCTTAAGACCCTTTTTTGATGGACTATTCTTGACTCTTGACTCATGTGCTCCTATCATGAGATTGAAGGCTTGATAATCTCTAGCTTAGCAAGCATGTCTAAGACTACACACTAGTTTAGGTTGTTCAAGCATGTGTAACTTTGATAGGTTATTCTTGCCATTGATTTCATGAATTTCTTGAAGGAATGTAGCAATTTTGTGATGTAGCATTTCATGGTCACATATTTATGTTGTTTCCCCTAAGTTTACCTCAACTAGCATGTTTATAGGGTAGGTAGTGGATTCACTTCCCTAGTCTTCTCTACCTAGATCTCTTTCCTTTAAGTTTCTTGCAAATTATTGTTTTATGCAATTTTAAATTCCTAATTCTAGTGACAAACCCACCAAAACTCCATACACCTTTCATCAAACTAAAAGTGAATTTATAGACCTTGGTTGCCATAAACTAGCAGTCCCAGTGGTTCGACTTACCCGACCAATAGCCCTATTTTACAATGATTTGTACTATTGTAAAGGGTTGATTTATTATTGATCGTTGCAAAGACGCATCATGTGTAATTATATATGTATATAGTAAAAGTAAAAAGGTGGATTTTTATGTTTAGTGGTGGGGCCCACTCCCTACTCACTTTTGTTTTGTGGCTAATCGGCCATTATTGGCCTCATTTTCTCCCCTTCTTCCCGGCAGTCTCTCTCCCTATACTTTTTCTTTTTATTTTTCCTTTCAATCAAGCTTTCAAAGCTTGATTCCCCCCACATCTTTAAGAATTTGGTAAAACCTTGTGAAGCAAAGTCGGAAAGCTCGTCGAGGCCGTCGATTTGATAGAAGCCAAGCACCATTTGGCCAAGCCTTGGGATTTCGAAATTAAGGCTTGAATTTGGTAATTTTGGGGGTTTTCACTTCAATTGAGGTAGGAGTTTCTAATTCACATTTTCTTAGACTTTTGTGAATTATTCTTCATAAATTATTATATAATATGTCTATTTCGTGTAGATCCTTACAAAAATGACTTATTTGTTGTATATGTGATATGTGATTATGTGTTAGTTGCCATGTTTTGAGAAAACATGCCTTAAATGATTATATTCCATACCTTATGTATTTGAGTTGCCAAAGATATAGTAAGAAGCATGATATGTGTGTTATATAATTTCTCTCAATTGTATTTATGATTAAGAATTCAAATGTATGAAAAATTATGATGTTTAAAAGGCATGGTGCATTTATGCATTTTCATTAGGCATAGAATGGGGAAAAGTTGTTTTAAAAAGGCAATGGAATTGTTTTGGGAAAACATTTTTGGAAAGTGTTTGTGAAAACCGGACGCCTATGAGGTGCTTAGTGGTTTATGGTGTTAATGTAATCTAAAGGGAACTAGAGAGAGACTCTAGTGTGGTTGAGTTACCTAAGCCCAAACGACGCCATGGAAGTACCATATGGTTGGGGATAGCTAGCCAATCCTTTCCTCGTGATGCCATAGAGGTGTTATAGGTCGGATTGCATTAACGGTTTGGAAAATGAAAAGGAATTGTTTTGAAAAATGGGGAGTGACATTGGCATAACATTGCATCTCATTAGCATATATGGTGCATTTGTGATTGGATGACATTTATTTATATGCTTGTTGATATGGTTATTGTTGCGTCTTCCCTATGACATGATACCGTCTACTTTATTTCTCTATTCATTGTATGGATTCACGGGGTCATAAGATGTGTGTCTTAGGCACCTTTTACTGAGCTTTATGCTTACCCCTTATTTTAACATTTTTCAGTTTCGGGAAAAGAAGTGGCGGACGACAATCCACCACAAATCTAGATTGAATCAGGACTATTATGTTGCTATCTTTTGTATATAAGTATGAACCATAATCTTTTGTAAAAACTATGTGTAGCTTATATAATGTTGTAGTAGTAGTTGTTGATGAATCAAATGTGGCTCATGGATTGTAACTTCTATAAACTTTCGTTCTTTTGTAACAGATTATGAAGAATCGTGTATGATTGTGTTGATATCGAACTTTGACAGATGTTGTAATCAGTATTCAATAATCTTGCATGTGTATGGAAAGGAATTGTTCAGTTTTAAGGTCCTATAGCAACCCTTTTGCATATCTTCATGCTCATAACAAATCAACAGAAATTTCCAACTCACAGGGCCATTTCAGCCGACCGAAATGGGCATTTCAGTCGACCGAAACTTCCAGTAGCCTCAGTTATTGTTTGGATCACAACTGGTCGACCGAAGCTCCATTTCGGTCAACTGGTACATGAGCCATTTTGGTCGACCGATTTCCTATTGTTAGGTGCATCTTGTTCCTTCTTTTAGTATATCTAACTTTGAGCTATGGTATGTTGTTCAAAGCCTTTTTGGGACATATTTATGACGTATCAATGATGTAGTATCACTGGACTTGATGGCATTGACTTAGGTAACCTCGGGTTCGGGTAAAGGCTCGGTTAGCGGTTCGGACCTACATGTTTAGGTCGTTATAGGTCACATTTACTTTGTTATGAAGTTGAATTTGGATTTTTGTGACTAAGTTGTATTGAATATTTTTAAATTTTTTAGTGTAAATAGGATTATGATATTTATAAAGCACCAAGACCAATTTTTGCTTTGTGTCTTTTAAACCTTAATTTATTTTATGTGTTTATCGTTTGATTTCTGATTTTAATATAAATTTTGCATTCACATAAATTTTTTACTCGTGTGAAACCTTATGTATAAAGGGTCTCACATTTGAAAATTTTCTCAAAATTTTAGGAACCTCAAGGCTGTCCCTATTACTCAGGTTAAGTGGTAGTGAATTGTATTGTTTACGTGAAGTTATTGGTGGAGAGATCTAGACCCGCCAATCGTTGGTGATTTCGTTATTCGGGAGGCCGGTAGAATCTACATAGCAGCTTTAGATTGTAAAAATTGAAGGGAATAGATGGTTGTGCTCGTCGGAATTTAACGAGGACAATGCCTGAAAGTTTGATACATTAGATAAATAAATGATTGGCTTTGCATTCAATGCCAACCCAATTGCAAGCCGAGACAGAGACGGGTCTGTAAGAGAAAAGCAAGGGGGCCACAGTTGAGTTTTCTTTACAACAAGCATATGGCAAGTGGATGGAATTGATGGTCTCGTCTAGATGAAAAGCGTTTTAATTTAGAGCATCTTCAACAATCTGTTAGAACATCTCTAGCAGTCCGTTAAAGCACTCTTTTGTGTAAAATATACACTACCACCTATGAAGTGTAAATTTTTTTTTTTTTTTTTTTTTTTTTTTATCTCCAGCAGCCTGTTAAGATACACTGCCATGCCACTAATGTATAAAATTTTTGTGTATTTTACACAACATTTTTACACAAAAATAAATAATCTAAAATTTTTGTGTAAATCTACTATGATACATCAGATTTACATTAAAAAAAAAAAGATATACACAACGGTTAGAGAGGCTCTTAAAATACTCTTTTGTGTAAAATATACACTGCCACGTATGATGCATGTGTAATTTTTTTTTTTTTTTGACTCGGTTTGCCAGAACCATAAAAAATTAATTTGGCATTAAATGGTTTAGACATCGAACATCGCAAAAGGTTTGATGGGGTTAAGTTTCAAGATCTCTTCGATTTAGCAGACAGGGCTTCTCGATATGAGGAGATACTTAAAGAAGAAAAAGAGAGGAAGAATTCTTCTAAGGGTACCTATTACAAGGACCCTAATTATGAGGTGTTCTCGGCAGAAGTTGAAGAATAATTAAAAGTTGACGTTGCAGAGGTAAAGATCAAAAAATCATACATTTGTGAGGCACTGGTTAAGCCTAAACCGTCCATAGGGGGTAGTGCAACATCAACATCGGTAGTGAATAAAGATCCTGCCGATACCGGGAAAAGCTATTCTTTCGATTTGTCAAAAACAGATCAAATCTTTGATCACTTGATGGCCGATAAGATGATATCTTTGCCTAAGGGGCATAAGATTCCATCAGTAAGTGACTTGAAAGGAAATGAGTATTGTAAGTATCATAATTCTTGGAACCATGCTACTAATGACTGTACTGTTCTACAAGGTGTATTGCAGAGAGCAATTGACGAAGGTATATTAAAATTTCTGGAGAAAACTTCAGACACTATGAAGGTGGATACTAATCCATTCCCTACAATCACATCTACAAATGTGATAAGCTTAGCAAAGCGAGGAAATCGGCAGGAGGTTGAGACGGTATCAGGTGAGTTCCTTTCATCACATGCGACACTTGAAAAGATGGCAGAACTGCAGAGACAATTAAGAGATGCTCAATTAGCCTTGATCGACCATGGCTGTTGCCCAAATTGCAAAGGAAAGCAAAAATCAAAGGAAGATATGCCAGTAGAGATTCAACCAAAGAAGAAATGAATTCTTGAGAAGGTCATTTTCCCAATTAAGCCTAAGGAAGAGCCTCGGCAAGGTGATCCCAGCAGCAGTCATTTGAAGGCAAAAAAGAGGAATCGACAAGAAGATATATCTAGCCGATTTCATTACCAAAATTGACATCCTGGTTTTAAAAGGCGGTCGCCAGTTCAGTCAAAAATTTAGGTACAAAAGGGAGCTGATTCATATAAAGTGCGAACTGTGAAACGAAGGACAAACTCAGCGGAAGACAGATGGACTCAAGTCAGTCACCCAAAATTCCCCAAGGTTCAAACAAATTAGAATAGAGGCCTTACTCGATCTCAGAAACGTAGGGAACAAAGGAGAAGAGCTGAGGAAAAAAAGAAAATAGAGGGAAGCAAAGAAGTGTTAGCTAAGGAAATCAGCATTCCAGATAAAAACCAACCAGATGAGGAGCCTTAACCAACATGGTTAGACGCAACAATAAGTTCAAAATTTAGTTTGGCAGTTTCCCAAACGAAATGTCATGTAATATGGCGTTTGTATTACCAGCAATGTTCCAGGCCCCATCGGCATCAAATGCAAGTACTGAAAATAATTAGAAGGAAACTCAGCCGATTCAGAATTTATTAATTCTTTCCTCAGAATCGGCGAAAAAGGTATCTTTGAGAAACCTTTGTTAGCAATGACTGAACAACTAAGGCCTTTGTATGTCAAGGTATGGGTGGAAGGCCAACCTATTAATCGAGTCTTGGTTGACAACGACTCGGTTTTGAATGTCATTTCAACTAACACATTAAAAAAACTCGGCAAGAGTATGGAAGATGTTATTCCCACTGATGTAGCAATTTGCGGTTTTAACAGAGGCTCTACTAGCACTAAAGGGATACTTCCATTAAAAGTCGAAGTCAGAGGAAAGACACCTTTTACGACATTCTTTATTATTGAATCCACAACTTCTTACAATTTGTTATTAGGCCGTGATTGGATTCATCCAATTATTCAAAAGGCATATTACAAACCCATAATTGTTCAAATCTTGTTAAAATTACTGTGAAACTCTTCAAATTTGGCTTTGAAATCTACCCACGAGGCCCGGGATTGGTTAAGGGATGTTTCTGCCATTTTCTTATTTTGTTCCAACTTCAGCATCTGTGCTTGCAAAGTTTGAATTTGAAGGTTGCAGTCTCCACTTGAACTTTCAGTTCTGCCACCTTGTTACCAAGCTGAGTTTTATCTAACTGTAGCCGAACGAGTTCAGCTTGAAGCTTCTTTTCCTGAATGTCCAGCTCGGCAGCTTCTTTCTTCAAAGATAAATGCAGGTCCTTTCCTTTCTTTAATGTCTCGGAAAGATTTTCTTTTTCATGACATTGGGAAGAGTAATGATCGATGGTATGGACTGATTCAGCATAAGCAGTAGTCAAAGAAGAAATTCAAAGTTGGAAATTCTTGAAAAGAGCTTGGTCACTTAAGGAAAATCCTGGATAACTACTCAAGAAAGACAGTGTTTCGGTCAATTCATTTTTGAATGAAGGGGTTAGAGACAAATCTTGCTGCACCATTTGAGATAATATCTGAATGGCTTTTGTTACTTCCAAGGGAGTTTCAGAAGTTTTTTCAGATGGGATTTCCGGAGGCTCAGGATCTGGTGAGTCGAATACAGAATCGAATAACGAGTCAAGGGCTGCGAAAGGAGAACTTGGGTTGGTGCTAACAGGAATGGTTGGAGTAGCCGAGTCTTTTTGTACCTGAAATATGTTGGGTTAATCACAATTGTTACAAGTTTACAAGAACAGGTTATAAAAATCATAACTTACTTCATCGGAATCTCTAATTTGTTCATTAATTAAAGTTGCAGCTAGGTGTGGAGAAGACACTGGGGACTTTTGCTTTTGCCCCACTAATAGCTCAATCTTTTCTTCTTCTTCAACATGGTCTGTAGCAATTTCCTGACTTGATTTTTGTTTTGAAGAGAGCCGAGATTTTTGAAAATAATGCCGATTTAGTTATATTATATGAATAAAAGAGGTAATATAGTGAAATCAGGTAAAAAAAATTACATTAGGAGATTCAGCAGCGGGTTTCTTTTTCTTGGATATAACTTCATCCTCGTCCACTTCATCATCATCTATCAATACAAAGTGTCTCTTGGCTCTTGACTTTTTAGTAGGTTTCTTTCCTACAATTTTCCTTCTTGTTGTCTTCTGGAAAAGAAGTATTAGCAAGAAATTGGCATGTGTCAAAAGAGTGAATATGGTTCGATTATGAGTATTACCTGAGGAGTCGAAGATGGAGGTATACTTTGGAGAGGGACATAAAAATCAATATGGGTTTCCTCAGACTTAGCGGGTATTGATTTTTTTGGTGATTTGGAATGGGTACCTGAACTTATGTTAGTAAGCATGTAAACAAAATAGAGGTTTATATGAAAAGGACAAGAATATAACACTTACTTTGCCGAAATTGATATCTGGTCTTACCTGCAGGACTGTGGGAGGAGGATGAGTTGGTACTGTATCTGTTACATTTTCTGGTTCAGGAGTGGCAGTAAGATCAACGGGTTCAATGGAATCCACACCTTGGAAATTGAGGGAAATGAGTTTGTAGGATCCAAGGAGATTGCACACAAGTTGACTAGAATCAACAGTCCTGGTAAAATTGATATATGAGGCCCACTAGGTTTCAAAGCTTAGATCTGTATGCGGTTCTTCCAGAAAGGACTTACACTGAAATTCTTGAAAACGCTGGGTAAATCGATTGGTTACATCCTGAATCTGTTCACTGTTTGAAAGTTTGACCCGCCGATGATAATTCTTGTTATAGGAAAAATGGGGTGGTAATGGAATCATTTGTGTGAATCCAAATTGTCGTGCTAGTTGAGCCAGGTTATAGAATTCCACCCCAGTTCGGCTTTTTGGAAGGTAGGGAGCGATGGTATTACAAGGGATGTCCCTAGCAATTAGGAAATGGCCCCAAGAGTTCTTGTGAATTTCATTCTATTCTGCCAAAGATTCGGCAGTCGGAGGAAACAACCAAGAAGGAGTTAATCGACATTTGGAAAAAAGAAGAAATTGGGATTGGGTTCTGATCTTACACTGGTGATAAAAAAACTTAAAACAATCATTAAATAAGTGATCTTTAGGCTTTGCTTTGGCATACCCAAATGACAGTAAGGGATCGCTAGTCGCAAGCCGAATGGGAAGAGCTAACTCAGGGAAATACGCATGCAGCCAGAATTGATAAAGCCAAAGAGGGCCTCCAGACCTTGAGAAATTAGAGGTAATGAGATCGGATAAACCTTTATACAAGGAAGCTAACAAGAATAGAGCTAAGGCCATGGGTAATCCTTTGGATAATGCAATGGCTAACTGGGTAAGGTCTTTGGTGATTTGAATATCAGAGGCACACAACAAATATCTACACAACCACAACAGTAAAAAACCTATGTGTTCTTGTTCTGTTCCATCTTCCCCTAACATTTCCTTTTAAAATGGGCTATGCGACTATATATAGGGTTTAAACCTTTTTTATTCTGGAAAATAAAAGAAGGTCTCTTCATCCAGGAGGAGATAATTGATTTTATCTCCTCCAGGCCTTAACCCCGTTAGAAAATAGGCATCCCTCAAGGTAGGGGCCATCATACCACAGTGCAAGTATAGTGAATTGGTTGTGGGTAACCAGAAGTGCAAAGAAGCAAAAAAACAATGCTCAGTCAAAGGTAAAAGGGATCTTACTGAGTTGGATGATGTCATAAATACCCATCATTTTCCATTGCTCTCCTTTCGCTGCTGATACACGATCCACCCAATCGTTCCGCTGGAGCATTGGTGGATGCCAATTTCTGACGAAGAGGGTTGGTCTGTCCCCTTCCGTTGTCAGATAGAGAGGTTTTGAAAAAGGAAGGTGTTGCTCGGCTTGTGGATAAATCGAAGATAACTAAGGAGGAAATCGATTAAGAAACGCTGGGCCAAGTCCCTTAGCATTTTCTGTGATGTCGATCAATGTGGTGGTGTCCAGGTCGGTTTGGACTAGGGTTTTGATTACAGATTTCGTCATTTGGGTATGCGATGTTGCTTCTGGAAAGGGAGTTTCTAAAGTCAAATCATTTTGCTTCTGTGATTTTGAAGCCATGGTTGCAAGAAGGGAGGATTTTGTTGCAGAGGAGTTTCAGATGGAGAAGAACTTTAAGAGAAAGAGAGGATTGTGTTTACAGAATTTGGTTCAAATGAGAGAAGAGGCGTGTTTTAGTGGAAAACGAAGGGATTATTACAATGCAATTAATGAATGATAGGATGGGTTAGTGTGATCGGCATTTTTTGGGAAATCCACTCCTGATATAACTCAAGGGATTGTATGATATGTGCAATGTTCCAATGCAAAGGGTGTATTCAAATTTTGGAAGCCGAAGGGTTAAAACGGCTACCCAAATTGCGGGGCATTGTTGACACCCATTTTGGTAATTGGGTCTGGGCTCCAAGTGGGCTTGATAAGCAATGACATGATGGCATGGACCAAGAATATATGGGCTTGATGAATGATGATGATTTAGAAGATCGGGCTGCACAAACATTGGGCTGAAGGATGCAGTAATAAGTTCGGACTTGGGCACATGGATTAAAGTACTGGATTTGGGTCTCAATTGGGATAGAATTGATATAGTGATATGGAAAAGGGCTACAAGAGATATATAGTGACAAGGACAAAGCTACACACAAGGGTGTTATTGATTAGATGAAGTATTTTTGAAATATTATTTGATTTTATGTTAGATAAGATTTATGTGTTTTCCAGATTTTAGTTAGAAGTTAATATTTATCTAGGAACCTTAGTTTGAATTTAAATTTAGTAATAAGGTAGAGTTTTATTGTAATCAGAGTACTTATTAATAGGAGTTTGTTTCTAATAATTTCTATAAATAAACAAAAGGGTATGCTGAGAAAGAGGTCCAGCACCCTCAGAATCATTATTATTATTTGTCTGCTTTCTCAAGCTTTTTCAAGAATAGCATCCTCGCTATATATATA